ATAGGGTTACAGCTTGTGTTGGATGGGGTTGCACTCCCCCTGAAGACACAGTTTCGCAGCTTGGGTGTGACCCTGGACTCATCGCTGAGCCTGGAACCCCAGGTTTCGGCGGTGACCAGGGGAGCATTCGCACAGTTAAAACTTGTGCGCCAGCTGCGACCGTACCTTGGGAAGTCTGACTTGGCCACGGTAGTCCACGCCCTGGTTACATCCCGCTTAGACTACTGCAACGCTCTCTACGTGGGGTTGCCCTTGAAGACTGTTCGGAAGCTTCAAATGGTCCAACGTTCGGCAGCCAGGCTGCTAACAGGAGCGGCACTCAGGGAGCACACCAATCTTCTGTTGCGCCAGCTCCACTGGCTGCCAATCTGCTACCGGGCACAATTCAAGGTGCTGGCTTTAGCCTATAAAGCCCTAAACGGTTCTGGCCCTACCTACCTCTCCGAACGCATCTCCTCCTATGAACCGACCAGGACATTAAGATCGTCTGGGGAGGCCCTGCTCTCGGTCCCGCCCGCATCGCAGGCGCGGTTGGCGGGGACGAGAGACAGGGCCTTCTCGGTGGTGGCCCCTCGGCTATGGAACGCCCTACCTGTGGACATCAGACAGGCCCCTTCACTGCTGGCATTCCGGAGGAAGGTCAAGACTTGGCTTTACGAACAAGTGTTTGGCTAAATAATGCAATGAAATACAGTAATACGGTACAATTGACCACAGGAATTGGTATAAGGGATTATGATTATGGATTCTGATTCTGGCTTGTTTGCTGAGGCATATATCTAGGATTATGATTGTTTGACCTGATGTTTTGTATAATGTGTTTTTTAACTGCCTTCTTGTTGTTATTGTGTTGATCTTTACTATGTAAACCGCCTTGAGTCGCCATTTCGGCTGAGAAAGGCGGTATAGAAGTAAAGCAAATAAATAAATAAATAAATAAATAAAGGTTGAGAACCACTGCACTAAACATTCAAATGTTTGGTATTATAAGGCTCCAAGCACATGAATGGGACGTGTACATGGTGCCTGGGGAACATCTCACCCTTTCAAATCTTAACGGGTCAATTTATTCCACTTTGCTGAGTAACATCTGAGAGAATTACAGTCTACAAAATCTAGCATCACTGATTTAAAAATGAATAAACTGAAATATAAAACTGTATATAAGAACATTGTAAACTCTCTACTGGATCAGACCAAAAGTCAATATTATCTTGAATTCTGATTGCATAGTGGTCAAATAGACTTTTTGTGGAATGCCCACAGGTACAACATGGGCACAACACTTCCCTTCTAGCTCAAGTATCCTTAGGAATATCTGTAGATATTGGAGACTACATGTAAGTATAGTGGCTACACACTGGTTTATTGTCCTTGAGCTTGCTTAATCCCCTTTAAAGCTGTTCTGGTTGTTAGCTGTACCAAATTTCTTAGTTGACCTATATCCTGTATAAAGAAGTACTTCTTTTGTTCTTAATCATCTTCTATTTAGCTTGATGAGCTCTCTGGGTTCTAGTATAATGAGGAACAGAGAAGAGCTTACTTTGCTCCAGAGTTTTCATACTATTCTTATCTTTTACACCTCTATCATGTCTTGCCTCCTTACTATTCCCCACCCCCCCCCCAGCTAAAAAAGCCCAAATGTATCCTTTCATTAAAGGTGTATTTCTCCAATAGATACATTAAGATTTGAAAATCTAAGAGAGAAAATTATTACAACATGTTTTCTTTGCAGAAAAATTCTGTGTGTTTTTGTACAAGCAAACCCAAATTGTGGCTGGATGGGACTGGAGAAATGATTCATTCCTGCATGTGAGGATGACAGAAGAAAAGCTGTATATGCTTGTTGTCCACACCTGCAAGTATGTTTGTCAGAAAACAATTCATTCTGTAATATCAAGGTCTTCATTCATCTTGCCCTGACAGCTGGTGCTTTCCTTGTCAGAGGGGCAGGGAATCTTCTCTGTGTTTTACCTCAGGCTTCAAAGAGACTATCAAAAAATCCTACATTTCTTCCCCTACCCCACATAGGTTCAGCACTTTGGAGAAGTACTGTGAGGTTTGGACTAAAACCTAGAGAGGATTTGCCCAATGTAATTCACTCACTGTCATGGAAGCTAACAGCTATCCTCAAGGCAATTCATGGTCATTAAGATTGACTTTGTTCACATGAATATCCTTGGTATTTTATCTATGAGCCAGAAAATACAGATGAGGGAGAGGGGAGGCAGTGAGGCTGTGTATCTGTTGTAATTGTGGAGGATGGAGAAGGTGTCAAAAATAATTACTCAGTACCAGCATTCAGACCAGGCTGCATTTTAATTCAAGGTGGGATAAATGTTGCGATCATCAGGGGGCTAGCTGAAGGTGTCATATTTGATAAACAGGGCTTGCTTCACATGTTTCCTGCAAAATCAATACAGGCTTGGTACTTACTTGCTAATATATCATGCCATCCCCAGTCTCCCTCTCTCTCTCTCTCTCTCCCTCTCTCCCTCTCTCTGTCTCTTGCTCGCTCACTTGCTCGTCACTCTTTTGTTTCAGCATGAGTGCCTTCCATCTCTGCGACAATTTGAGGGCCTTTGGAAAACAGTAAAGCTATCAAAAACAGCTATGTTAGTAGTTTTGTTTTTGTTTTATTTGTCACAGCAGCTAGCTCTGAAAACTGTCAAGCATCACCATCTTAACACTCTTCCGTGAAGTATTTGGCACCATAAACAAGGGATGGTGGGGAACTAGGGAGGGTGGGGCACATCATATGAATAACCAAGTACAATTATCCATAAATCACAGGTACATAGATGTCAGGCAGAAAACATTAAAATAGATGACTGGCAGACAATAGTAAAAAGAACTTTTATTTTGGCTGCTGCATATCAGTGTCTGCTTCAAAGTTCAGATTGCTTTCCACCTTCATAATTCTTCCCTGCTCAAGATGTTTTGCAGCATTGTTCACAGGCAGACTTGTTTAGTTGTATTACAATATAATTAGGAAATGCATACAATCTGTCATGTTTAGGTATGTCATCTATTCAACAGAACACTGTGATGGCCTGTAGTCTGCAGCTGATATTAGTTACTGCTATTTGTTGATTATACCACAGTTCTTTGTTTCTATTGTTTGAAGATAGAGAAAGAGTATTGGGGAATATGTGTATGTTGCCTGTCAATTTATGACAGCCTCGTGGATTTCAAAGCTTTTTATTGGGCAAGGAGGACTCAGAGATGGTTTTGCCAGTTCCTTCCTCAGAAATAGACCTTACAGCATTCAATTGTGGTCTTCCATCCAAATATGAACCAGGGCTGATTCTGTTTGGATTCCAAGATCAGACAGGATCTGGTGCCATTAGGATATTTAGGCCCTTATATATTACAATATACAACCTCATTACACAGGCATAAGACAGTTTGACCTCACTTCAGGTTACAGAGCATGCTGGATTCCATCACACGATGTAGATCTACTTCCAACAGGACTCCATGGCTGGAGTGAGATCAAACTCTCGTAAGAGTCAGCATTAGGAACACGGGAGGCTTCCCATATTCCATAGAGAAGAACAGGGGGAAGCTGAGCAGCAATGTTTCCCCCCATGGGCTGAGATAAGGGGTGATGTGGGGTGTGGGACAACGGGTTCCTCACTCGCTCCACTGGATTCACCATGATCCATGGCAAATCTCCCTCCTATCCCCTGGGTTACTGACCGCAATGTAATGAGATACCTAGTTGCTATGAATCAATTCTATCATTAGTTTTTCCTGATTCATAGAATGTTCTGGGGGCAAAGACTGCTTGTTTGTATAGCAATCACAGCCTTTGGGTTATTAACATTTGCTCTCTGCTTTTACTGTTCAAACTACTAGATAGGGATTATAATGCCTGGAATACTTGCCACCTTGAAACTGTGCACTGGCTTCCATGGTTTTTGTTTGGTTGTGCTACAACTAGCCAGCTACTCCATATGGTCCCTATTATCCCTGGGTTTTCTCAGCTTTTACTCATTTGAGATTGGGAAAGCAAACTCTGGCAGCACTTCCTGTCTTGACACCTTATTTCTGGGATGGGTTATCTACAGTGCAAGGTAAACAGCTACTGTGTACTTTAAACACCAAGTAAGAGCAGTGCAAGCAAGACTTACACAGCCCTTCTTCTCACAGACACAGCTATCATGAAAGATTAGATGGTCAGTGGCTGATATGCTCTCCACTTCAGTGGGAAAGTGAATCAGTTTCAGGTTCAAGCCTGAATTGAGCTTTCTAAGTTCCTCTTATACCTGAAGTAGATTTGGCATCTTAGAGAGTGCCTTTAAAGTTCAGATTTAAATCCAGAAATGATTGAGATCTCCCACCGGCACATGAGCCACCTGCCATCACTAGAGATGGAGGAAATATGCCTGAAGGGAACTGTTTACCAGGAGTGGGGAAATGGGTTATGGCTAATACTGACTCCCCATCATAAATATCTAAACTGCCTAAATTATTTTGTGGATTGCTTTCTGCCCAGATACTTCAGCCAGACTTCATTAGCTCACTCTGCATGTATATCCATCAAGAGAAAAATGTCAGCTTGACCAAAGGCATTCTGCTGAAATCTATGAACATGATTCCCAATCCCAACTGTGCGGCAGGCTCTCTGTGAGGCTGGTCCAAAATTGCTTCAGCTTTTGTTCCTGTGGAGAGGAGATCACAGACATCTGTACTTCTTGCTCCTTCTTCCCCAACGGTGTCTTAAGGGATCAGAGACACCGTCTTACTGCATTTGTGTCAAATGTACTCAGCACAACTGTGGACCACTTCTACGTGGAAAACCTCTGCTGAGTTATGTACATTATGCAATGTTGCTGAACAAAAGTATTAATTATTTTGAGAAATACAGTTTTCTGGAGATTTTCCTGGATATTACAGATTATGAGGAGGAGGAGGAGGAGGAGGAGGAGGTAGTAATGGAATGGTAGTTTTCTTGGCTGTTTTACTAAATCATCTTATTTCTCTTTTTTTCCTAGCTGGGAGGCTGTGGGATCCTTGGAGTCGGCATATGGCTAGCCGTCACTCAAGGGAACTTTGCCACCCTGTCCTCTTCCTTCCCTTCACTGTCAGCTGCCAACTTGCTGATCATCACGGGGACTTTTGTAATGATCATTGGTTTTGTGGGGTGCATAGGAGCCATCAAAGAAAACAAGTGCCTCCTACTCAGTGTAAGTATAAAGTTATAGTCTACCTATTCTCTACTGGCATCCTGTATTCTGCTCTCTAATTTTTAGTGCATTTTGTATGTTAACATATTTCTAACATTGATATTATATATATATATATATATATATATATATATATATATATATATATATATATAATCTGTTGCCACCCCATGCAATTACTGTGAACAGTGTGCTGAAAATGGCTAACTATGTTCATCTGGGGTTGTAAGAGAAGCATAATGTGAAAGAACTAATAATAAATAGCACATAGAGCTGGTTGGACATAGAACTGGTTTTCCAGAGTGATTTGAATGTTGATCTAGGACTCTAGAAGACCAAGCTATGAATCCCCGCCTGGCCATAGAGACCTAGTGAGTGATGTTGGGTTACTCATTACACTAGAGCATTGATCCACTTTAAATCCAGTTTCTGTCTCGTGCAGAATTCTGGAGTTTGTAGTTTAGGGAGGGGCCTTTCAACTGCTCAGCCAGACAGGTTCTGTGTCTCACTAAACTACAAACCCCAGAATTCTGCAGGAGGCAGAAACTAGATTTAAAGTGGATCCATATTCTAGTGTGATGAGGCTCTTAGTCCCAGAGGAAGGTAAACTCCCTCTGGAAAAATAATGCTTAAAAAACAATTTATGGTAGAGTTGTCTTAGGGTAGAGTTGTCTTTCACATTCACAGGGAAGTCACAGTACCCCTCTATTCCGCCTTGGTTAGACCACACCTATGTATACATATGTGAGAGGAAGTCATAGGGAGGAGGGAGCATGACTGTTTTCTGCTGCCCTAGGACAGCAATCCACTAGGACATGGAACAATGGCTTCAAACTACAAGAAAGGAGATTCCATCTGAACATTAGGAAGAACTTTCTAACTGAGAGCTGTTCATCAGTTGAACTCTCTGCCCTAGAGTGTTGTAGAGGCTCCTTCTTTGGAAGCTTTTAAAGAGAGGCTGGATGGCCATCTGTTGGGGGTGCTTTGAATGCTATTTTCCTGCTTCTTGGCAGGGGGTTGGACTGGATGGTTCATGGGGGTCTCTTCCAACTCTATGATTCTAATTTACAGTCCCAACTGGCACTGACATTGGCTTCATGTCAGTGAAAAACAAAAATTAAGTCGATTAATAAAACTTTTGGTATTCTATGGCATTTTGGAGACCGAAGTTCATGAAGGTTGTGAAGTTTGTGCTAGTCAATTTGTAATTTTTAACTGTTTTTGTTGTTGTCAGTACCTTGCCCTGATCCCTCTTCATATAATATTTGAATTAATGAATACCTAAAGTGAAATACTTCATAAACACTTGCTTACCTACACAGTTTGTGCTGGGTCAAAGGGAAATTCAACATCAGTTGGCTGCATCCAAATCAAGTTTATGATAATTTATTGCAGTTGAAATCATAAAGCTTCAGTTAGCCATGATTAATTTGTCCCCTTGGTTTGTAGGGGAATAATTTATGATCTGATGTAACCAAGGGTGTTTTTCCCTTAAACATGCTTTCTTTCTAGTCAGAAAGTGTCTCACATTGGAAATGAAAGATTTCAGCAGAATATAGCCTTTCACCAAACAGCTTGAGCTATTTTTCCATGGTGAATTTAAAGGACAAGAGCTATTTTCCAAAGAATATAAAAAAGGAAGCAGGTTTCTGCTAAGGGTCACTCTTCTTTTTATTTATTTGTGTGGTTTATTTGATTGTGCTCATAATTCATTGCAAAAGTACTTTGAGCCTACAAAAAGTAGTTTTTCTAGTAATATATAATAAATAACAGCTTTCCCCCTGAGTTGGGGCCACTTCCAGCAGATGGCATGGGAACTGAATGGCTTCCTTTCTGCCCTGGGTGGCTCTCAAGTCCTACTTGTTTGAAATAGCTGTTTAACCATCTCTGCCTCTCTTTAAGAGGCACGGAAAGAAACAGAACTGAATGCTATTTTTCATTCCAGAACAGTCGTTCACATTAAATCATTCCAGTCAGCACAATTTAGAGCAGCCTGAAAGCTAAAGATGAGAGGCTGAAGAAAGTTAGCTTTAAGGCAATTTTGTCACCATTGTTTCTTGATGTTCTTGAAGTATGGCACACCTTAAATTGAACCTTGCCATGTCTGAGAGGAAAGCTATCATCTTGTCCTCCCATGCCTGCTATGGCATGCACTGCATTTATATGTGAACAGCATGTGCCTTTTCTTCATTTCACATCAGTGTGGTATATTCCTGCACAGTAAAAATAATTTCACACTATTCCTAGGGGTAGACTTAAACAGATTTCTGAAATCCAACTGTGCAGATTATAATATACGGTATGCGGCTTCAACACAGAATATAAACCTCCTGTTGAAAGGTATAAAAGTTACACAAAGGCAAAGTCTCAAATTCCTGAATGATGGAGAAAGGAAATCAGTTGCCTTGAGAGGTGTAGATTTAGAGCCCAGTTCACTTTAGACCAGCTTGAGATGTTTTGAGTATAACGGACAACTTCATCACTTTCTTTTTGTGTTGTTCACACTCAGCAAGGAGATTCCATGACTTTAAGTGTTTTTTAATAACAAAAAAACCTTCATCATGTTTACCAGTCACACGAATTCGCTCCACTTATCATCATAGGCTCATCTGTAGCAAGCTGAGAGACAGAAGAAAGAAAAAAGTGTGTTGCTTAGAAGAAGTTCTTAAAAAATGTTCTCTTTCTAATAGTGTCTAGATATAGTGCCTAGGGAAGTCATGCTAGCCCTCTATTCTGCCCTGGTCAGACCACACCTGGAATATTGTGTCCAGTTCAGGGCACTGCAATTTAATGAAGATGTTGACAAGCTGGAATGTGTCCAGAGGAGGGAGACTAAAACAATCAAGGGTCTTGAGAACAAGCCCTGCGAGGAACGACTTAAAGAGCTGGGCATGTTTAGCCTGAAGAAGAGAAGGTGAAAGGACACATGATGGCCATGTATAAATATGTGGGGGAAGTCATAGGGAGGAGGGAGCAAGCTTGTTGCCCTGGAGACAAGAATGTGGAATAATGGCTTCAAACTACAGGAAAGGAGACTCCACCTGAACATTAAGAAGAACTTTCTACCTGTGAGAGTTGTTCAGCAGTGGAACTCTCTGTCCTGGAGTGTGATGGAGGTTCCTTCCTTGGAGGTTTTTAAACAGAGACTGGATGGCCATGTGCTTTGAATGCAATTCTGCTTCTTGGCAGGAGGTTGGACTGGATGACTCACAAGGACTCTTCCAACTCTCTGATTCTAATACCACACTTTATTGAAGAGCTGACATACTAGATTCTACTAATAACAGGAAATTTGTCTAGCAATATGTTAAAAGGTAGAGAAAGATGTTAAATGGTAGATAATTGTCATGTGAATGAATATCTGGCAATAGATATTTTCACCCCAACAAAAACATAGATACTGATCAGCATCATGTTTCAGTCTGCATTGCTTTGACAGCTTGAGGCAGGAGCTGATAAAATGGAGGAAAATCTCTTTGTGTCAGTTTTCTGACATGAAACCTTCTTTGGAGAGGGACTGTGTCTCAGTGGTAGAGCACATGCTTTGTATGCAGATATTTCCCAGTTCGATCTTTGGAATTTCTAGGTATGTCCATGAAACACTCCTAAATGCAACCACAGAGGTCCATTGGTCCTTTGTATTACTTCCTGCTTCCATTTTGAGAAAGAACTACAGAGGAAAACAGAAGTGTTTGGGGTAGTATGATTTTCTGGATTTAGTGTGGGTCCTGTGGGATGTTCTCATGCATTCTAAGGTGTCTAGAGGAATTTTTTTTTTGCACAACATTCAGACAAAAAATCACCTAGATATAGATTTTTTTTAAAAAAAATGGAAGTAGGAGGCTTTGGTGGGCTGCTGAGAGTTTCTTGGGGGCTTCATGAGGACCAGGGCCGGATTAAGACTTTTAATGATTTTAAGCACTTAAAAGGTTTTGGTGCCCCCTTATATATCTAATTCAAAATATAAAGAATAATAAACAGCGATGTAACATTAATATAATATTTTATTTTTCAAAAAACTTACAATAAAAGAAAAGTTTTCAGATATAAATAAAGTGGAAGTATATAAAAATAAACATTATTGTCCATTTGGAAAGTTTTACATCATATATTCAGATAGTGGGAGGCCATTGTTTGGGAGACAGAGGGATGAGTGATTCCACCCCCCCACCCCACCCCTGGCACTTTAACAGTAATTATTTGTCTTTTGGTGGTGTTAATGGAAGTGATGTAAAGGAAACATGGACTGAGATCAGTACAAGAGTCATTGTGGCCTAACACTATGCCAGCACAACACTATGCCAGCACAAAGTCTGAGGAACTGCAGACTTTTACAAGGAGGCATGGGTTTTATCCAGCCAAACAGAGATGCTTGCAAAGGATTGCTTGCATATGAAGTTCTTCTTACACAGAACCATACTGTTTATGCCATTGATGATTATGGATACAGAATCCCCAGCAGGATTCTGGCTCTAACATCCTTCTTGCCCATTAAAATGTATGCAGAAGTATTTGATTACATTTTGCAAAGGTGGTGGGAACCTGTTAATTGACTTGACAGCCCCAGTCAGATTTTGACACAGAATTTAGGAATCTATACAAATTATTGTTCTATCCAACTCTGTTGTCTACAGTAACTGTTAGTGGATCTCCAGGAATTTCAGATAGTCCCAACCTGTTGTTTTCCAGATGTTTGGGACTTCAATTCCCTGAAACCCCAGCCAGCTTGGCCAATTGTCAGGAATTATGGGAGCTGAAGTCCAAAACACCTGGAGAGCCAAGGATTGGAAATCAGTGAGATTAGCCTTTCCACGTCTTTCTTGAAGATGCCATGTGTCCAACTGAGGACTTTCCTTGCAAAGCATGTGCTCTTATTCTGATCTAGGGCCAATATACAGGATGAAGATTAAATAGAATAAGTAGTGGACTAGTTTCTTTGACTATAGATGGACTTCTTTGTGTCTTCTTATTGCAATGTATGAATTATCCACCCCCACTAT